GAAATAACCCTTTAAAAAATCCGAACTTAATGACCCTAACTATGTTTTGATTAATTAGTTTATTGAACACCCTAACTTAACATGTAAACGGGTATACGTACAAATTACATATGAATTTATTTTTGGGATTTACTACTATATAGGGATATAATTTTATGGTGAAATATGGATTAAATCATCGTCAAAAATTTCTTTGAATTAGACAACCAAACGGGATGATTGCTATTTTGTGTGCATATTATATTCAGGGATTAATATAAATAAAATGATCGAATCCAAGATAGATATTTCCTGTAGAAAAATAGCTATTTGAATCATAGAAGAAGTTGAAGAAATTAGGTTTAAACCATCCATAAGCAATGAAATGGTCATTATTTTCTGTGATATCGATAATAATATTTACTATTATCCGTTTTGCCTTAGCAGAAGAAGCCAATTGCACAGAATGCACTGACTATTTTTGGACTGAAAAAAATCCGGTGACAGCTATCATAAAGTTCGATAATTTAGAAATAAAAGGTAGATTCTCTCTGTATGATAACATGAAAGATAGTGGAACTCAGATATCCGGATCTTTTGTTCGAGGAATGAAATTGAACAAACCTTATCTATACAAATTCATCACTCATATATACTCTACTTGCGATAATGTTCATAAAAATGAATTTTTTGCGTTTGATGTGAGCCATAGTTTCTTGCCTAGAAAGGTTAAAACTATTAGAAGTAACAAGTTTGGATCGTTCAAGACCACATCAAATAGTTGGTACTGGGGACATAATATTCCTACTGTAGTTCTAGCATATCAGAAATCATCTCTTAATTCTAAGACTTGGAAATTTAAAGGGGTACATTTTTGTTTCTCGTTTGGTTTTTGTGCTATGTTAATATTTTCTCACAATATATATATATATTTGATTCTAGTGCGCAGAATTGATTATGAAAGATAAGGAAAGCATTAAAAAACCTAAAAATCAATTAAACCCTTTGGAAAATAATGACACATTTCAAAGTACCTTCGATAATAATACCAACACAATAACAAGAGACGAAGTTTTAAGTTCTTCGAAAGAGCTTCAAGATGAAGTTCTTTTTAATTCATCTAAAACTGATAAAAAGTATTACGTTGATATAGAAATAACGGATGACTTTAAAATATAAATTGATTATGTTTTCTATTGTCTGAGGGAAAGCAGGAGTCCTGAAGCAAGATGAATGTAACATTATCTAAATTGTAAAATATTTATTCGTGACAACGTATCACTATTAGAAAACCCATTTAATAGTTAGGGATTAATAATCTCGATTTTTGCTATTTTGACGATATCACTACATAAAATCATGAAAACATTATTCCTGACTGTACATAATCACTTTAGTATTTGTTTAATTTATAGATTTCTATCATCGAATAATGTTAAAATTTAATATTTAACTAGAAGTTGTGATTTTAATTTATAGATTTTTATTTATAAGATATTGGGCGCACGATGAGAAATAACGGGGAATTTTTTTTATCGGAATTAATGTCACTTCCATGTGCTGCGTAGCAGCCAGGCCTACCGAATAATTGATTGTAGTGGAAATTAATTGCAATATTTTGAACTC